ACTATATGTGATGGAAAACCACTCTAGGGACTTGAAACTATTCGCACCAAGTGATAGGACCTTGTAGGATGGAGTGTAGGAGGGTTGTATGGCCACCTAGAGTGTGTGTGCGGCCATGAGTGTGCGGCCCAATGGGTGTGCGGCCGTACACTCATGAAATGAGGTGTCTTCGAAGTGTTCTCAAGGTCCCTACTCACATCCACTAAGTGTTCAAGGTCTATACTCAATTGTAGTGCAAGATAATGGTCCTAGAAGTAGGTTTATGGTCCTAGAATAGGTGTATGGTCGCACACAAGAGTGTGTGGTCGCACACTTGGGTGTGCTGCCGCACACTTGGAGTGTGCTGCCGCACAAGGGTATGTGCGGCCGTACACAGGTGTGTGCGGTCGTACACCCCTCAAAACGATGCCCAAAATGTCCACTCCAAGGTGCAACAAGGCTAGGGGCATGTCTACATCGATTATGGAAGTTAAACTCTCACTTTGAAGGGTGTTTTAAGGGTGTGTTGCCACCCTAAGAGGGTGTGCGGCCGCACTCATTTACAAACACAAAGAACATGTCGTTTTTGCACACATAGAGCTTGGATAGAGTGGTCTTTCATGGATTGTAAGTTAGAGGAAGAAGTACTCACGTTCTTGAAGCTTTGGAAGGTTTGAAGAAACTTGAGAGGAAATGAGGTTGTGTGCTGCCAAGGTGCTAAAGGAATGAAAGGAAGGGGGCTACCCTTTATATAGGGGTAAGGGTGCTGCCCAAAAGTGAGTGTGCTGCCAAGGGAGTGGGTGTGCGGCCTGTTTACGGCCGTACACTCTTCCAAGAGGTGTGTATGGCCCGATTTTCTCACTATTCAACACTTTGACTCATTCCTAAACTCAACCTTGGTTATATACAAGCTTAGAACACTTAAATGAACCCTTAAATAGCACCAGAAATCAGCAAAACAAGTTGAATATTGATTGAATTGACTAAGTGTACAAGATTGAAGTTTCCGGGTTGTCACATCATCCCCCCGTTAGAGGGAATTTCGTCCCGAAATTCAAGAGTAAAGCACAGTCATGAACTTGGAAAGAGATGGGGATACTTTTGCTTCATTGAATCCTCGCGCTTCCAAGTGAATTCAGGACCCCGCTTAGCATTCTAACGGACCTTCACTATCGGGATGCGACTATGTTTCGTACGCTTGACTTCCCGATCCATGATTTCGACAGGTTCTTCCACGAAGTGTAGACCTTCGTCCAATTCGATCTCGTCGAGAGGAATCACAAGTGCCTCGTCGGACAGACACTTCTTTAGGTTCGACACGTAGAAGACAAGATGGATGTTGCTGAGTTCTCGCGGTAACTGTAGTTTATATGCTACGGGACCGATCCTAGCAAGGATCTCAAATGGTCCAATGTACCTTGGGTTTAGCTTTCCACGTTTCCCGAAACGTATCATGCCTTTCCAGGGTGAGACCTTCAGGAGGACGCGGTCACCAACCTGGAATTCCAAGGGTTTTCGTCTCTTATCGGCGTAGCTCTTTTGTCTATCCCGAGATGCTTTCAGTCGCTCTCGGATTCGTACGATCTTTTCTGTTGTCTCTCGGATGATTTCAGGTCCAGTGAGAGTACTGTCGGGGTCTTGACCCCTGGCTAGCTGCGTGTCACCCACTTCAGCCCAACACAGAGGGGATCTGCACTTGCGGCCATAGAGGGCTTCAAACGGCGCAGCCTTGATGCTGGTATGGTAGCTGTTGTTGTAGGAAAATTCGACCAAAGGAAGATGAGTGTCCCATGACATACCGAAGTCGATGACACATGCTCTCAACATATCTTCCAATGTCTGAATTGTCCCCTCACTCTGACCATCTGTTTTAGGATGATAAGCTGTGCTCATATCCAACTTAGTTCCAAGTGCCTTCTGAAGGGATTGCCAGAATCTTGAGGTAAACCTGCTATCTCGGTCAGAGATAATGGATACAGGTACCCTATGAAGGCGAACTATCTCTTGAATGTAGATCCGTGTAAGTCTCTCCATCTTGAAGTTTTCTTTGATTGGCAGGAAGTGGGCGGATTTAGTCAATCGATCGACAATCACCCAGATGGCGTCGTGCCCACTCGGGGATCTAGGTAACTTAGTGATAAAATCCATTGTTATCATTTCCCACTTCCACTCAGGTATTTCTGGCTGCTGAAGTAAACCTGAGGGCTTCTGATACTCCACCTTCACCTGGGCGCAAGTCAAGCACTTGCCCACGAAGGTTGCAATTTCTGCTTTCATGTTTGGCCACCAATAGAGCTGCTTGAGATCCAAATACATCTTATATGAACCTGGGTGGATGGAGTATTTCGTTTTGTGAGCCACACACTCATGAAATGAGGTGTCTTCGAAGTGTTCTCAAGGTCCCTACTCACATCCACTAAGTGTTCAAGGTCTATACTCAATTGTAGCGCAAGATAATGGTCCTAGAAGTGGGTTTATGGTCCTAGAATGGGTGTATGGTCGCACACAAGAGTGTGTGGTTGCACACTTGGGTGTGCTGCCGCACAAGGGTGTGTGCGGCCGTACACATGTGTGTGCGGCCGTACACATGTGTGTGCGGCCGTACACATGTGTGTGCGGTCGTACACACCTCAAAACGATGCCCAAAATGTCCATTCCAAGGTGCAACAAGGCTAGGGGCATGTCTACATCGATTATGGAAGTTAAACTCTCACTTTGGAGGGTGTTTTAAGGGTGTGCGGCCACCCTAAGAGGGTGTGCGGCCGCACTCACTTCCAAACACGAAGAGCATGTCGTTTTTGCACACATAGAGCTTGGATAGAGTGGTCTTTCATGGATTGTAAGTTAGAGGAAGAAGTACTCACGTTCTTGAAGCTTTGGAAGGTTTGAAGAAACTTGAGAGGAAATGAGGTTGTGTGCTGCCAAGGTGCTAAAGGAATGAAAGGAAGGGGGCTACCCTTTATATAGGGGTAAGGGTGCTGCCCAAAAGTGAGTGTGCTGCCAAGGGAGTGGGATATATACACTAAAGTCCCAATATTTTCATCGATTTGACAAGAAAGTCCTAAACTTTATTTTTTTGACAGTAAAGTCCAAATTACCGGCAATTTTTGACACTTTTACACTTTTTTCCCGATTAGCCGGTAATTAGGATTTTTTTGTCAAAAAAATAAAGTTTAGGACTTTCTTGTCAAATCGTCAATTAGGACTTTACTGTCAAAAAAATAAAGTTTAGGACTTTTTTGTCAAATCATTGAAAACATTGAGAATTTAGTGTATATATCATTTTTTTGTTAGAAATTTAATGGTATGATACTCTGTAAGCATAAGAGTTATTCAAACATTCTCTAGTCAACTAGATCCTATTGAAATCCTTAACGTTTGTTATTGTTAAATCGTTTTTTTTAATCTCAACAAACCGACATTGAAAAAAATGGAGATAATCAAGAAAGAAAGAAAGAACCAGGGTTGTGTTGGCTTTTTGCAGTCCCAAAAATGGAGAAATAAGAAACCGAAAAAAACGAAATTGCCCTTCTTTCCCTTCTCAACATTCACACCCTTTTGGCTAGACATGTGTTGTTTGTGTTTGTATAATCTGTTCCCACTTTTTAGTTTAAGATTTGGCGGCGAACCAAGAAGAAACTTTTACAAAGGTGAAAAGACTTGTAAAACTTTCTTCTTACTTCGCCGCCAAATCTTGAACTAAAAAGTGGGGACAGATTATACAAACACAAACAACACATACCTAGTCAAAAATGTGTGAATGTGGAGAATGGAATGAAGGGCAATTTCATTTTTTTCGGTTTCTTATTTCTCCATTTTTTGGGACTGCAAAAAGTCAACACAACCGTGGTTCTTTTTTTTTTCTTGATTATCTCCATTTTTTTCAATGTCGGTTTGTTGAGATTAAAAAAATGATTTAACAAGAAGCAAACGTTAAAAATTTCAATAGGATCTAGCTAACTAGAGAATGTTTCAATAACTCTTATGCTTAAAGAGTATCATACCATTAAATTTCTAACAAAAAAAAGAATGATATATACACTAAAGTCCCAATTTTTTCAACGATTTGACAAGAAAATTCTAAATTTTTTTTTATAGTAAAGTACTAATTGATGATTTGACAAGAAAGTCATAAACTTTATTTTTTTGACAAAAAAGTCCTAATTACCGGCTAACCGGGAAAAAAGGGTAAAAATGTCAAAATTTGCCGGTAATTTGGACTTTACTGTCAAAAAAATAAAGTTTAAGACTTTCTTGTCAAATCGATGAAAATATTGGGACTTTAGTGTATATATCCCCCTATATAAATATGAATATATTATTAAGTCTATCTAACTTTTATCTACATTGATATAAATTTATTTCAATCTGACATATATCTACCATATTTTGGATCTTAAAATATATTTTTTCTTTATATGATTATAAAGTACTGTTTTCATACATTGTTCAATTCCACAAAAATTTAACAAATTATGTCATTCTCATTGAATATAATAATTTATATATCGTCCAATTTTCAAACTAATTATACTTTCCCGGTGTTTTCCTCATAGAATATATAAGTCCTAATTTTACATACAAAAATAAAGTACTTGGTCAAATAATAATAAAAAGAATGTCTTTGGTTTGTGTGTTCCACCTTCTATCATCTTTATTCTGTTTCAAAAGACACAAATCGACATCACCATTTTATTTTGTCTTTGATTCAATATTATTTGTACAACACTCAAGTATTATGTCTAACCAAAACTATTTAACATAAGATGAAATTAAAAGAACATATAGAACCGGGATACAGATTTTTTTTTTCTTTATACCGACAGTACTATATGGCCATATGGGTTAATTATAAATGTTGTCAGTAACAAAACGAAATAATGCTATGATTAATACCATTAAGGTTTTAGGTTTGTATCCAACTATCCATACATGAATTAATTGGCATTTGTCTAAAGGAGTGGACTTTTTGGGCTTCAAAATTGACATATAAGCCAAAACTAATAAACGTGCTTCCCTCAATGCTATCCTCCATCTCCATCACCCTCTATCCCTTTTCTTCTTCCTTCCTGTTCCCACTTTCTCTCTCCAAACTTTTGCCATTTTCAAGCTTTTCTTGAACTCCACATACACCAGCTGAATTATTGTTGTCTTTATCTACTGGTTTAGTCAAACCTCTTAATTTAATACCCCACATTATTCTCTGCTAAATGTCCGGGTTTATTGATTTTGAATTCCCTTTTTCTCTAAATTAACCAGTAACCGAAGCTTAAAAGACACCAGCTCCTTCTATTGTTGGTGGTTCTAATCCCAATTATATCAGGTCAGAAGATAATTCTCTATCTTTATTGTCGGTTTCTGTTTGGGTAGCTCGAAATTGTGCTATTTTTCAAAAAATATCTTAGCTTTAAACCAAATGGGATTGTTTGAAGTGCGAATGTTTTAGTCATGGGTTTTTGTTGTTTTACCCAGATATTGGAAGAAATTTAAGATACTTAAGTGTTCTTAGTACACTGTAATTGTATGGGTTCAAACTTCAAAATTTTGTTCTTTTGCCTTTTTTTTTCGAGAATCCTTTGAGGTTTGTTTTAGGGGAAGATACAAACTTTTGATTCTGTTAAGGATACTACATGGGTATGTTTGTTCGTGATTCTCATTGGTTTGAAAATTTTGTTTTATGTGGAGTTTGTCGTACAAGTTATCTTAAATTTTAATGCTGCATTCTTTTGTTTAATATTTTTATCGTTGTTGTTTCTTATAAACAATTAAACTTCAACTGATTCAATTCTCCAGGTCCTTTAACAACAATACCTTCATCTGACAATGTTTTATTGAATATCTTCATCTCAATTCTAACAACCAAATCGATTATTTCATCAATTTCAGAAAAAACGATGGAAACACTAACCTCATCTGCTGCATCTCCGGCCAACTATGACGAGATCGCTATGCAGCAAACATTGCTATTTTCCGACAGTTTGAAGGTAATTTCATCATCTCATGTTCTTGATTCTCTGTTTTGCGTGTTGTAATGGTTGATTTTATTTCAGGATTTAAAGAATCTGAGAAAACAACTGTATGCAGCTGCTGAATACTTTGAATTATCTTACACCAATGATGACCAAAAACAACTGTGAGTAAGGAAATTACTTAAAAGCCATTGTAACAAATTTCAGCTTAAGTTTACTTGTTTTTGTTGTGTTGTAACAGAGTGGTTGAAACCTTAAAAGATTATGCAATCAAAGCTCTGGTGAACACAGTTGACCATTTGGGTGCTGTGTCATGTAAGGTCAACGACCTTTTAAGTGAAAAAGTGAATGAAGTTTCAACAACGGAGCTTCGAGTATCATCTATTCAACAGGTTCTTTTTCATTTCACATTAGGAAATAGGAATCTTGACAAAATATTGATTTCTAATTCCATTATTAATTATTTGATATTGTTGTGTGGATTACAGAGACTAAGAGTATGCCAGGGGTGTTTTGATCATGAAGGCTTAGCACAACAGTCTTCATTGATAAATATTCCAAAGTACCATAAAAGATATATCTTGCCAGGTAACAAAACCTTAATTTTCTTTAATTGTTTTGCCAAATGATCCATTAATTTAATTGTTTTTTAAAATTTTTAATGCTCAGTTGGAGAGACAATGCAAGGTGGTATAAGAACAAAATCAAAGTACCAAGGATGCAGTTTGGATGATGAAGACGAGTGGCATGAATTCAAGAATGGTAACAATTTTATTCGGTTGTTTGTTACTTTGTTTTATATATAAAAACATTCAATATTCTTAAAACTTAAAATCTTAAATCTGTTTTTTGTTACACGCAGCTGTTCGTGCAACAATCAAAGAAAAAGAAACACCACCATCTTTGGCCAGGTAAATCCTTTTTTTTATTTCAAATAAGAAATATTATTACATTCACTTCATGTCTAATTATTAAAGATTAAATCAAATAAAAAAATGAAGCAAAAGACGATCCCCGTCTCCTACACCCCAACAACCAGGATCGTTTGCTTTCACTGCTGCAGTCACAAGAAAAGATTTAGGTATGCACACATTCATTTTTTTATTTTACATCTAAAGTTTTTTTTTTTTTTTTTTGGCTTAACCCATTAAGCCATTATGTTCAAGACTAAGGGGTTCTTTGATATGCCTCTTACTGGATCGAGTAAGAGGCTGGTTGGGTCTAACTCAGTCATATTCAAACTGTTTGATACCACAATTAGAAATCTCTGATTCAGTCCCATGCTGACTCGATCATATCTGATTTGGTCCTAAACTATCAAACAGCCCCCAAGTCAAAAAAACAACCACCATGTATAACTATCCAAATGAAGTGTTTAGCTCATTGACTAACAAAGAAACATCCCTTTAATTTTCTCTAAAAAGACAAAATCTTTAACTCTTCTTCATCATGAATCAGAAAAAAGATCAATTTCACCACGAAGATTTTCTCTTTTGCGTACGGGTTCTTTGTCTAGTAGGCCAACAACCCCAAATTCAAGATCGACTACTCCTACTAATCGCAGTAGGCCAACAACTCCAACCACGGTTTCCCGACAAATGGTAATTAATAGTTATTAATACACAAACACTTTTAATGCTTTTTCTTGATTCAAATATTGTTGTGATGATGGACCAATGGTTCGCTTCCATGTGTAGCTTTCGGAGCCTAGGAAATCGGCTTCAATGCGTATGCATGCTGACAGAGAAACAAATAGAGAGACAGACCAGAACCAGAACCAGATTCCAAGCAAAAGTAAACGGCTACTCAAGGCATTGCTTAGTAGACGCAAGTCTAAGAAAGATGACATGCTTTACACTTATTTGGATGAATATTAAAGAAAAAGCTCAGGTCAAAAGTTGGCATACACATGTGCTTGTTGTAATCTTTGTTCAAGTCATCAAGTGATAGAATGTATTATTTTTATTATTCTCGTGAACAACATTAGGTTTCTAAATTCTCATCATCATTATATAACATAATGTTTAATCAATGTTACACACACATGTATCTCGAAATCCAGATATCATTATGCTACAACAACCGAAATCAAACAAGTATAATACAGTAAATTAATAACACTACATGTTTTGATGCTCAAGATCACCAAATTGTTCGATTGTTTTTGTGGCTAGTGTTAAGGCATCCATAAAGGCGCTATATGATGCACGAAGAAATCTAGCTTCAACTGCTTCAAAATGCCTGTAAAGTATAAACACAAGCTTTTAAATCACCTAATTGGTCACAATATTTCCTATTTGTTTATATCATTTAACTCACACTGAAAGTTTCCCATCAGACACTGACATCAGCCGCTTGACTTTATCTGGTTGAAGCTGGAAATGGGAAGATGAGGATAAAATAGTAAATTAGTAATAATGGCATAAATGATGAAGAAATTATAAAAGTATACCTCCTTGTCAACAGCTAGTGTTGAATATACTATGCGAGCATTTTCATCGGACTTATAATCTACATCCAAATCACTGTAGACAAAAGCTTATGATGAGATTTTGAATACAAACTTTAAACATCTTAAGCATGTTGCTATTTTATGGGCATTACATTTACATATTGGTGGTTAATTCTAGAAAGTGCAAAACTCACCAGCTGAATTCCCATGGAGATGGAATAGTTTTTTGGGCATCTTTTTCAATCACAGGAGCAGCGGAATCCATTTTTATCTGAGAAAAATACAAATATGTTTAGTTCCATTTACCACTTTTCAAGATTTAATAAAAAATTAGTGGGATTACCTAAATAGCCACCTTTTTTTGCAGATAACATCTGCAAAATGGGTCGAAACCACCAAAACAACTTTGTTTTTGTGATTTTTGTAGATGGCCCAACCCATTTCACAGATGTCTCACTAGGGGTGTAAACGAGCCAAGCCCGAGCTCGTTTAAGTTATGAGGGGCTCGAGCTCAAGCTCGGCTCGATTCGAGCTTTATTGCACCGAGTTAGGCTCGAGCTCGTGAAGAATTACACAGGCTCAGCTCTGGCTTAAGATCGGCTCGTTTTTTGTCTGATGAGCCTAAATAAGCTTAAGCTCCGTTCAAGCTCATTAAGAAAGCTCGTTTACTATTACCCTACGTCTCTAATTCCTCAAATATTTTTTTATTTTAATATATAAAAATAATAATAATGTATATCATATATAGGCTCGTTTGGGCTCGGTTAAGCAAGCTCGCGAGCTCACTGATTGAAGCTCGGCTCGAGCTCGGTTTGGGCTCGTTTAATCCGATCTCGAGTCAAGCTTTTAAGGAGTCGATCCCGAATAGCTCAAGAATAGCTCGGCTCACTTACACCCCTAGGTCCCACAAATTATATGTAACAAAACTTCCATTTTCGTATTTTTCTTCATTTTACATAAAAAACAAAAACAAAAAAAAAAATTTTAATTCTCTAAAAAACACGGTCAAACATAACTCCCAATTATACTCCTAAACACCGATCTCCTTTCAAAGATCATATTTTAAGGTATTGGAATTTTAATTTAAGGTTATTGTTTCTTTTTAGATTATAAGGATACATCATACATGTTGGTTTTATGAATGTTTAATAAAATAAGTAGCCAAATATTTATTTTTAAGCAAAAATTTGATGAGAAATGCCGTTTTCGCGGATGATATCCTGGAAAATGTTCCCAGATATCTGATTTGACTTTTTTTTGTTTTTTTTTTTTTTTTCTGCCTAAAGTTCAAGAATATCGCATTTCAGCTAATATATACCATAACTGACATTTACTTAAAGAGTTGAATCTAGTAATTAAATACTGAACATTCTGTATCACAAAATCAAATTGCTCGTGATTACACCAAAATCCATAGAAATGTGCATTAGGAAAACAGTAAGTTGACTTAAAAAATAAAATTGAAATTGCACTTCTTTCTTTGATTTTAGTTAATAATTTATAATCAGGTCATATCAATCGATCTGCTGTCATGTCTAAGTCAACAATAAAACGTCGGAAAAATTGCTTACCAATTTACTGCGTTACCGGATTCTGACAAGACGAAGGATACAGGAGGTGTCTACGGCGGCGTCCGAGGGAATGAATGGCCGGAAGCAGATGTGTGGAGGCCGGAGGGTTTTAGACGCACTTATTAGTTATCAGTCTGTAAAGCCTCAATAAATCGGTGATATGGATAGACTTTTAAAATGGGCCTCATTCCCATCTATTGTTTTAGGCCCAAAAGCTCAATTTTAATTTTAATAATTTCATTTCTCTGGAAATTGTCTTCCTCAAATATCTTCAATTATTTGATCATAATATCCGAGTAATTATGAAATAAAAGTTGAGTACAAATAATGGCAAAACCAGAAACATACTTTAAAGTTCAAACTCAAATTTATATACATACTTCCAACTTTAACATCCTATTTACAGACATCAGAAATCCTTCAAGATTATAAACAAACACATCTATATACTAGACAAGATCTGTATATAGAACAAATCTTCAACTCTATTTACAAACATAACATTAACATGGACATGTTCAAATGTTCAATTGTTGAAACAAACCAATCAATTAACCAACAAATTCATCTGAATAACCAACCCAATGTCCAACCAAGTAAGAAACCCGCACCACCAAGACTCAAACCCAAAACAAAGCTCCCAAAAGACTTGCCATTTTTGTATCTTGATGATCCAGAGTCAGCCTTCTCCTTCTTCTTTCTCTTCCAAACCCTTTGCTGATGATACTTACTGTTCCTAGTAGCTTCCAGTTGCAATATACGAAACCATTGCTTGTAAGCAAATAGCTGTGAAGCTTGCTTCATAAACTGACTGATCATGTCTTCTTTTTCGTTGTTTGCTTTTTGTGCAGCTTTTTCAGCTTCCCTTGCTCGTGTTTGAGAATGGCAAAGTGCTTCCAAAAGCTCAGCCTTGCTCAGTTCATCTTGACTCTTTTTCTCTGCTTCAAATTCCTTGATTTTTGCATATTTTTCTTCCATTTCCATGGTTTCCCATGATGGTTCCCAGAAAGAGGTGGGATTTTCTTTAGGTTGATGGTGTAACCACCATTTGGTGTCACCTGCAAGATCATATAACTTGACTCCATCACCAGGACTTTCTTCTGAAGGTGATTTAGATGAAGATGGTGAAGTTCCCTTGTAATCTTCTTGAACTACGGAACTATTAGCGTAATGAACCCACCTAGGCTTACCTTCTCCTGAATCCATTATCTCCTGAACAGAGATTTACAGAAAAATCAAACGAATAATTAGGAAATAGCACATCCGCCGCCGGTTACTAAAATAATTTCTAAATCGATATCAATTTTGCATAACTAAGTTCTAGATTTGAAGTCAAAGTGGAGCTATCCTACAAATCGGATAGTTAAAATTTAATCGAAAACAATCAAACCTGAAAACTTCAGAGTCGTTGTAGGGTTAACCATGGAATTAAGCAACAATCAGATACAAGAGCAATTGATTACTCATCTCAAGAGTTGATCCGATTAAACAAAGTAGAAATTGGTAGATAATTAATGATGAAACGAACAATAAAGAGCAATACCTGTTTAACATGAAGATGGGTAACGAGATATCGATCGATGAATCTGGTTTCTTGGTTGGTGGTCGTATTCAGCCTTCAGGTTTTTGTTTTGCTAACTGCAAGTGTGAATTACAAGACACGTCCTCCACTATTGCAAAAGTTTCAAATCAAACCCTATAATACGTTTTTAACATTAATCGTCCCTCAAACAAGAACAGCTCTTCATATTGATCCTTCTATCTATTACCATTTAAGGTCTTTGTTTCCCTCAATGCAATCATCAATAATGGAATGGACATAGGTAATAAAATAAACAAGGTAATGATATAAATAATTACATTTCATTGGCATGTATAGTTGACTCGAAGAAATCAAACGAATCATTAAAACATGTTATTTGTTAATTAATAACAAAAAAACTAAATAAAATTAAAATTGATCAATAATGAGCAAATGTTGTTTTATAAAAAAATAAATTTTAAGCAAATAATGATAAATTCATTTCATTCGATATACATATTATATGATATCTAATTAATTAAAAAGATTATATACAATATAAAATACTTACAAAATAAAAAGAAAAATACCATAAACTCTTTAAATATAATTATAATAAATATATTTTTCATATATCTTGTAAAACTAAAAAAATATCTAATTGAAATTTTTAAAATTAATTTTTTTTTTTTTGAAGATTATATGAATAAAAAAAATTATAATTATAATACATATAATTTCATTTTCGACATACTAAAAAATAATAATTCTTCGTGATATAATGAAAATTCCATGAAATATTTTGTAAGAAATGTTTCATTCAATTCCTTGGCGACAACCAAATTTTTCTATTTGTTTTCATTTTGTGATAACATTCTATTAATTTCTGCATACCAAACGCTATCTATGTTTTCTATTATAAGGATTTTGCAACGTAAAGTGTCTTCTGCTTTTTAATTTAATACTATTAACAATATCCATCAAGAAACAAATATTTTGCTCACATATAGGATTGGGAAAAAATGTATATAAGAGAGCAACTTTCTGTTTAAGATAAATGTGTTATTTAATGGATCAGAAACTTAAAAGATTATAAGGTGTCAATTTATGTTTAATCACGTTGGTGGCTATAGGTCTACCCAAAAAGGGGAGGAACATGAGGCATGAGCACTTCAACTAGGAGCCGGAAGAAAAACTCCAAAAAAAGACTCATAACTTCATAAGTCATAATGTTGAAAGCTATATCGGGATGAAATAACTCCAATATATAGAATGAATTCATTATGTTTAATTAATAAATACATACATATAACTGTATCATATCAAATATATCGAAGCTAAAGAATTTTATGGAAAACTTAAGGTGCGTTTAGTTACGTAAAAATGGACCGTTTTCCGAAAAAAATTTCCAAGAAAAATGAGAATTTTGAAAACGCGTTTAGTTTGTCTATTTTTCTAAAGTTTTCACGGAAAATGAACATTTCTGTTTTCTAAAATTACAAAGAAATTGGAATTTTTTGGAAAACCAATAAATCATTGTTTTCCATATTTTTCTAATTCCAAAATTTTTTAAAAATATAAACACACGCCTTCCCTCACACCCAACCCACCACACCCCTACCTACCCACCCCCCCCCACACACACACCCACCCACAACACATAGACACACACCCCCACAAACACACATACACACACAAAACCCACACAAACCCACCACACCCCTACACACCCACCCACCCCCACCCCCCCACACACACAACCCACCCCCACCCCCCACACATACACACACACACCCACAAACACACATACAACCCACATCCCCCCACCCCCACCCAAACCTATCTCATACCTACCCACCCCCACCCCTACCTACTCCAAAGATATGAATTAATGCATTAAACTTAGCCCAAAACCTCATATGAATAACATTAAAATAAAATGCACCATGAAATGATTTGGTAACCATGGATGATCAATCTCAGATCGATATGAGGTAGGGTGAAGTGGAGTGGGATAGGGTGGGGTAGGGGTTGGTGGGGTAGTGTGGGATGAGGTAGGGTGGGGTGGGGTAGTGTGGGATGAGGTAGGGTAGGTTAGGGTGGGTGGGGGTGGAGTGTGAGTGGCATTGCGGCTTTGTGTGATGTTAGTTAAAATAATAAAAATTGGAAAATGAAAACTCATAGAAAAATGCACTTCTAAACGCGTTTTCTAATTTTCTAAAACGGAAAATGAAAAATGAATAAGATTTAACTAAACGCGTTTTCTAATTTTCCAATGAAAACTGAAAGCGGAAAACGAAAACTGAAAACGGAAAACAGAAAATGAAAACTATTTTTCCGCAACTAAAGCCAACCTTACACTCTTACAAAAGTCCATGGACTACTTTAACACATTACACATGGAACCACACCAACAAAATCCAACAAAAATCTTACAATCGCAAATGTAACCCTCCCCAAACCACATCAAGAACAAGCCTTCTATTACAAAACCATTGCTTTGACCTTCTTTTTTTTTTCATTTCATTTAACATCAATTCTTTCATAAACTCAAAGTCAGATGGGTTGCTTGGATGCCAAACCCAAATTTTTTGTAGCTCCTCGTTTGTTAATCTGAAAATTTCCTTTCAAAAAAAAAAGAAAAAAAAATCATTTCTTCTGTGTTAGAATTTTAGATCACCTGGTAGGAAGTTCTCACAAGTCTGTATTACAGTATTGGTAAATGAATCTAACAGATCCCTTGCTTTTCCTTCTTGTTTATGGTTTCTTAATCTGATCATAAGGGTTTACATCCATGGTTTTGTCAAGGTAAACTGTCACCAAGGTGCTTACAAATACAAACTGTTGAAGACAATAGCCTATATCAGTATCAGTTCTTGCATTTCTCTTGGGCTATTGATTACATCAATAAACATCTACACTAAAGTCTCCAAGCTTCTTCAAGTGTTCAATTCATACCCTCAATTTATCTTTCCACTGGCATAAATCGCCATGACCATATTCTTAGCAAAACTCCCAACAAACAATGGAGGTGAAAACAGTTTATCCAAAGCTCTATCTTTAAAGAAAGCTCTTGTAGATCTTGTAATCTTTGACAATTGCTTTAAAGACTTTTTGGGATTTTGTCAGAATCAGATTGAATGAAGATTTAAGACTATTCACACAATCGGAAAAGATGAGCGGTTTCATCAGATTCATAATCCGAAAACATACGACCCTCCAATTCCTCCCCCGATTCAAACCCATTTTCACAAACATCTTCACCGGAATTGGAATTGGCAGCAGTTTGTTTCTTATATAACCCTCGGCTCTTATCCAGAAACCCCTTCCTTCATCAAACATCGAAACCTCTCCCTGATTTCAGAGATCGGGTGTTTCTGAACAAGTTGATGACGATCATACGCTTCCCGAAGAACAACTGTTTGGGTGTTGTTCTTCTTTGAGATGTAGAAAATCCCGGGATGACGCTCGAAAACCTTTGTGAATTTCTGAGGAAGATTCAATGGATTCCGGAGATTGCTCACATTCCGGCGATCGGTTTTCTTTTCAATCGTGAGATGTAAAAGTTCGTGAAATACTCCGACAATTCTCTTCTCGGAAACATCCGTCCGTCGATCCAAATGACTGGAATCGGAATATGGCGATGTGTATGGGAGCCTCTGCCATTCCTCCAACCACTTCATTGACTTCCGATTTAACCCAAATCCCCGTGGGAAATCCCACATTAAAACTTAATCTACCATTTTTAACATCGTCTTCTTCCGCATTCGTTTCTAATTGGGAAAGGGGAAGCTCACTGGGTGGAGATATGAGTTTTAAAGCGAGACGATTGTGGGGAAGAGGAATCAAAGAGAACATATGTTCGTATTTTGAGATGAAAGAATCGAGATAATCGTAAGGCAAACCCAAATCCCATTTCAATTGGTCGATTGTATGTAAAGGAAGAATCGTGTCTTTTGTGAGGAGAAGAAGCTTTGAAATTCTATCGAGGAAATCTTTCTGATTTTGCTGGAAAACCGCCATGGATTCTTGGTTTAGTCGAATGGCATCTGGGGTTAATCTAAACCAGGGAACAAGAGTACCACCGGTGTCAGGCAGATGAAATTCATCGAAAATATTTGGGTATCTTCTCATAAAGGTGGAAACTTTGAGGTCTTCGGGAAGACCCAGTTGGCCTCTCCGCCGGCCGGAGAGACGGTAGATGGGGAGGCAACAACCAGGGTCGGCTGCTATAACTGACACGATTACCCAGGCTGCTCTGAGCTCTCTTTCACCGGTTACAACAGAATCTAGTACATTATCCTTCACCCATTTCAATTTTACGTTAACTAAATTGTATCTTTGATTATGTCTAAACCCTAGATTACTATGGTGATTGCAGGGAAATTTGCAATTTTTCCCGAAACCCAAACTCCATCGGAGCATCTTCAGCGTATTATACAATTTGACTAGTGATTCAAAGCAATTAACGATTAGAGGACTTAAGAAACAAACTATGTGGGAAAAATACCTGCAGTTCTGAGATAGAGGAGATGTCGGCGGTGCGAATTGTTGTCGATGCACCTCAGAGTCGTTTTAGGGTTAACCGTGGAATTCAAGGAACAATTCGATACAAATGCAATTTAGTAGTCATCTCAATAGTTGATTGGATTAAACAAGAATTTGGCATCGATGATGAAACGTACAAAAAAGAGCAGTACCTGCTAAACATGAAAGTGGGATGGCGAATCCGGTTTCATGGTGGCTGGTGGTGGTCATATTCACGCTTATGTTTTGCTAAATGTGTGAATAACAAGATTCATCCTTCACTATTACAAAGTTCCAAATATAACCCTTTACTACGTGTTTAGATTGATCCTTAAACAAGAATAGGTCTTCAAATTGATCCTTCTATCATTTACAGTTTAGTAGTTTACCATCTTTGTTAGGTGTGAAGATGTTGGGCCGACCCATATATGGACACACTTTAAAATTAATATCCGACCGGATCACAACCAATTTCGTTGTATTGTTTGAGATCTTTAGCCTATTTAAGAAGTTGGTTGAACCGAATCCAACCCAAATCAATTCATTACCGAGCGGGGCCTAATGTCAAGCAGAGCCTGATGCCGGGCGGGGCCCGATGAAGGGGTTGGGGCCCAGTATATGTGATTATGTGTATTGTATGTGGTGGTATGGGGAACTCACTAGGGTTCGTGCTTACGGTTTTTAGTTTTGGTTTCAGGTATTTCCAGTAGCAAAGGGAATAGCTCGGGATGACTGCATTGCACACACTATGATGTTTAGCCTGGGATGTTTACTCTGATGTTTTGAATTGGAAACTCTGATAATAATGTTTTGAAATACTTTGACTCATGTTTTGATGAAATGGTTTGATAACTATGGTTTTATTTAATAATTAAAAATGAAATTTTGAGACCGTATTTTATGAGTGTCACACAACTCCAACTCAGGTAAACAACAAGAAGAAGACACTCTTTTGATGACCTGGACCAATGCATGGCTCAAAATTGCTCCCTCCAAATGAGAGAAATAAAAAAAACAAAAAAAAAAATATGAATGCTGCAAACTGTAATGCTTTTTCCTAAAATAATAAAAATGTATGCAAATCCCATAAACTTGGACTCAAATCTCTGACAACCAAATGAATTGATTACAAATTTGACCTCAAATCCCAATGGAGCAACCATCTTGACGAATAAACTCGACCCACCCATATGCATGCATGGACTTTTAAATTAAAATGAAAAAGAAAAGAAATGTATGTACCAAAAGACAAGAAGAAGCTTTATACTGAAATAGCACGACTGAAATAGCACGACTGATTGCCAACTTAGCCCATTCAACAAACTCCTTTATCAAATGATCATCTGATGATAAACATTCATTCAGGAACTTTTTGCGTGAAAGAGATTGTTGAATCAATAGCCCTGTATTGCTTCCCATAGTATCAGTCAATCTCCAAGAACACCAATCACAATATTCATCACCACATAATCCCTGAAAAAAAAAAGATAAATTAATCAAAAACCAAAACATGATGAGTCCACGCCAGCATCTACTTACTACTAACTACTTACATGTCTTTCTCCATATACATCAGATCAAGAAATTGGATGATATGTGGATCATAAGGAATCAACAACTGAGTTTTAGGAGAGTTTTTAAAACCCTAAAAGATCCCCGAATACACCTCCAGAATCCCATTACTCAAAAGATTTGTGTACTCAATCATTTCATCATCATCTCCTGATATGTGTGAGGATAATTCAGCTGCACTTTGAAGCATAAGCATAACATACATCAAATAATTCTCAAAATTCTCCCCAATCGCCAAAGCAATATCATAAAAACATGAAAAAATAGGAGGCTTCACGAATTTATGCAACTGATTGCTTGAAAGATCTTTAAGAAGCTGAGTCATGATCCCATCACACCGAGGCAACACCTTTTCCTCCAAAGCTCTACATATGTCACCCACCACACCTACAATCACATCACACACCTGATACTCTTCAAAATTATGTAGTCCCATTTCCAGATACTTGTAAAACTCAGGCATGAATCTTGCAAAATCAGGTCCCGTTGAGTAGGCTAAAGCTCCTATTGCCAACATTGCTTCTTCATGAACAGTTGCAGATCGACACGCGAAAACCCATAAAAAAGATTCATGATTTGGTCAAAATACTGCATGAACACGTATTTAGTTGGCTCCGATGAACCTAACTTCTGAATAATCTCTTGAAGACACCCACACAAGAGTCCCTGTAGCTCGTTCTATTTCTGTCTTTCATTAAATGAAAGCTTCTGTTCTCCAAGGGTTTTGTGTAGTTCCAACATGATGACAGGGACAAACTGTAAAACCATGGGAGATATTTCATCATTCAAACATCTCACAACTTCATTCAATCTCTCATACGAAGTTGTTCTTAGTCTGCATTCTAAAGAATCTTCTCTGTGAGTCACTGTTAACAGAGACCACACGATTTCTTGAAAGTAAGTAGTCAAAGGAGACGATTGATGGCAATCCTCGTATCCTTGTGCCAGAAAGTAAAGGTCCCCATATGCTTTTTCAGCTAAATTTGGAGCATCCTTCATGCTTTGTAAAAGAACTGTTATAATATGTTGACAGTTAGAAGGTGTGACAATCTGTGTCTCCATAGTTGGCCTATGAAGAAACTCGAATATTCTTCCAAGTGTCCATGTTGTTGTGTCTTTTACATGGTTGTTTGGATCTTTTGATAAAGCAGTGAGCATGAAATTAAGAGCAACATTAACAAGTGGGGTTAACTTATTCGGTGAAGGACCCTCAAAGATTTAACCAAATGCATAAGTAGCCCTTTCTCTTTGTCTCCAATAAGGTTTTGTTATATTCTCTGTTAGAAATTTAGGGTATAGAAAGGCTTGGAAATTCTGAGAATCGTGTTAAACACATTCAGCTTAAAGTATTTGGGTGGTACTCCCAATATTCTTTAATCGGATAAGAGTCAGAGAGACAAGAACATAAAGTGGTTTGATGATGTTTTCGTATGTACCAAAAAATGAGACCAAAAACGACTTTAAGATCTTTCTCTAAAAACTTTCATATGACAGTTTCAAACTGTCACAAACCACAAAAAAAAAATGTTCATAAAAACGGGTATTTGAATAAAAGTCAAAATGGGTCAATTCTCATATGACAACACGACCCCAGCCAGGGGCTGCCGCCCCTTGGACCCCGCTCCCAGGGGCGCTGCCCCCGGACCCCTGTTCGTTCGGGGGATTCACCTCTAAATGACAATGTACTTTGAAACTTGATCAAACTTAAACAGATGTGTACTCCACATCTTCCTTACTTGTTTAATATTTATCAATATCACTTTTGGTAAACAAAGTAATCCCATTACACTTAAATAACATTGATGATAACAAATCACCAACATTCTCTTCAATAAACGGCATCATAAGTGGGACAATATCATCTCTAACTGTCCTTACAACAAACCCAAAACATGTCCCACCTGTCATTGCAAGATTCCAAGCACCTTCATCCTGATCCTGATCTTCTTATTGTTTCAACAAAGTCTCTAAAAGCATAGGTACAAGAGCAGGGAGAGCTTGTTTGATGAAATAAAAACAAGGGATATCAGAATCACAAGTGAAGTCGCCTCCATAATCTTCTAGAATGTCAATCTCTTCATCAAAAATCGAGCTCCAAAATTTGATAGCTTGTAAAGCAACATGCTCCTCATCTTCTTTCACTGCTTTTGCAGTAATGTTGAAAATGTCTTATATGTAATGAGATAGTTTCTCATAGTAACTTTATGAGATTGACACCAAACACTTATAAGCAGCCTGCCTGATTTTAACTTCTGGTGACATTATCGCCTCACAAACAACTCTCATAATGTAATCTCTCTCCATGTCATTAGAGAAATTTGCTTGAGCAAAACTAAGAGCACTATACAACGTACGTGTGGCAGCAAGCCTAACATCATTACTACCTTCTAAATCATTCATACCTTGAACTACAGCTGTGAGGATTTTTATTCACATGGTCTTGTTTAATAACATTTGGAGAAACTTCTTCACACATGTATCCAAGAGTTTCTAGAGTAGCTTGTTTGACATGAACAGGAACCTGGTGTATATTTGATACAAGGGACCCGATGAGTTCAAGCCATTGTTTCTGTGGGAGCTCTATACCAACAACTTTAGTTATCACTTGTGATGCAGTGGATCGTTTCTCGTGGACTGGAGAAGAGAGTGTCTGTAACAAGCATGCCTTTATCTGTGTCTTGACATTTACATCTAGTGATAACCATCTTTGGACAAGTTCAAACTTTCTGTGTTGTTCTTTTCCATCCAAGGAATTCTTGAGGATTAAACCAGCTAATTTACGACTATCAACAAGCTTTTCCTCACTGGCAAGTTCTCAAGATAGAGATGCGAGAAACCCGACTAGGTTTTGCTGCTGAAATTGCTTTAAACTTTCTTCAGCATGTTTTCGAATAGACCCATCAACTAATTATGCATGCAACAGAAATTGGGTGATTTCCATTGCCATATTTTATTGGCAAACGCTCTTTAAAGGACTGTAGTATCACAAAAGCAGCAAGTTATAACATAAACAAAGAGAGAAAACAAAGAAGATCCTAAAAGTAAAGCAGAAGCCAGAAAGTAGTGAAATTTATACTTCAGTGCTTGATACAGATGATCTTTTACTTCAAAAAACATTACACAACTTATCCCCAAAACAAGCACCAACATTTTAAATCATTAAGTTCCCAATAACAACAAGAAAAAACAATGATGGCAATAAAGTAATCATACAAGTTGTGTTCTTTGTTGTATATCAATTTTATAAATGAGTTCGTCGTGCCCATCGGTGCAAGTGTGACATCCACAAAAATTGTAACATCCCGACTTCCAGGTATGAGATTTATTCCTTAAAAGGAAAATTCCCCTTGGAACTCGTCGAGTTGATGGCCTCAACTCGACGTGTTAGAGGCTTTTGGGCCGCACATATTTTGGACCAACTCGACGAGTTGGTGAGGAAAACTCAACGAGTTGGTGGATGATTAAGAAACCCTAATTTTTAGGGTGTTGCACCCTATTTAAAGCCTTATACCCTTTGGATGGCCTCCTTATCAGTCTCCTCTGTCCAGAAACACCCTAGTTCATGCATCTTCTCCCATATTTGTGTGTGTGAGAGCTTGAAGAGTGATTTCTTGGTGTTCTTTTGAAGGAGCTTGAAGTTTAAGGTGGCTTGATTGAAAGGAAGGCTATAGATCCAAAACCTACTCTTTTGTGGCAGTCATTTTGAGGTATAAAGTCGACACCTTGCTTATCTGTTGCTTAGATCTCTTCCTTGGAAGTTTATTGTCATATTTGGCTCATTTTTTTGGATTGTTCATGGGGTTGAGCATTTCATGAAGTTATCACATCAGATCTGGACGTTTTATGGCATATTTGGGCTTAAAGTTTCAAGCTTTATTGATAGCTTCATTTTATTTACTTCTTTTTATAGTTTATTTTAGCACATTTCATTCGCATTTTAGTTAATTTCCATGCATATTTTCCTTTTTGTTATTTTATGACCATTTCGGGTACTTTCTAGTTTCTTGAGCATTATTGCAGATTTTTTGGAGACTAGCGGAGCGGGATTTTTGAGAGGCAATTTGGGCTCAAATTGATGAAATCTTAAAGAAAAATGGGCTAGAAGCTGATTAGACTCGAACTGGGCCAATGGAATAGCTGTGGGGGCCCAAGACTTGAAGAAGCCCAAAACTCCGTCATAGTCACGCGGCCCACGTAAGGTTTCCACGCGGCCCGTGTGGATTCCTGTAGGGGCAAATTCGGGATTTTATTTAGAGCTCTATATTGGGAAGGTTGGTGTGCCTCTTTAGCCTTATCTTGAACATCCGATTTTGGCACATTCTCTCTGGAGTTTTGGAGCACTTTGAAGGCCAAGAACCCTCAAGAACTTCATCATTTCACCTCTTGATTCTTGTTAAATGTTGGGTACAATCTTTATTAACTTTGTTTTCTTAAGTTTAGCCATGCTTGGCTAGACTAATTGTGGTTGACTTTTGGTGGAATCCTTTGACTAATTGTTGAATGTTGAAGATTCCATGAACTTGTGTTTGAATCTTTATGAAAATGTTTTGTGTTTTAACATCTTATCATTACTTATATGTTTTTATTCATGAGTTTAAATGTGTTTGTGGTGATTAGTTGGCTAATTTCTTGATTAAGTAAAGGATCTTCAAATTAGCAAGCAACAAGTGATTTTTGTGTTAGTTTTACTTCACACAATCATAAAAACATTTTCTCCAACATGGTAGTGGAAGCTTTTGACTCCTCTTAGATTTGGTGACTTTTCAATTCTTAATGCTAGTTGACTTTTACTAATTACATGCTTAATGAAATTGGTGACTTTGACTAAGGAAATTGTTATGAGCTTCTCTAACCATTTCAACAACTAAGAAAAGTCTAGGTAATCTCAAGCTTCTTGGATTACTATAGCCAAATTAAGGATTTAAAACAAGTATTGCACCATTGGATTCTAATGATATGTTCGTCAAAAAGTCAAAGTGAGGAAACCTTAAGTCAACCATCTTTCCCTTGTTGATTTTACATCAAAATCTTGTTTTTGTTAAATTGTCAATTTAAATCTTAGTTTAGTTTTAGTTTATTTCAAGTATTTCAAAAGACCAAAATCCTCATTTTTACTTTTATTGTTATTTTACAAGTATTATTACAAAGAGATTTTTCATAGAGTTATAAAATTGAACCAATCTCCGTGGATACGATCCCTTTACCACTATACACTATTTTAGTGTGAAAGATTTAGGGTTATTAATTTTGTTGGCCTCGACAACCACCATTTATCAAGTTCTAGGCCCCCTTCATGCTTTAGGTCCCTTATTAAGCCTTCCTTGATTTTTGGAGCCTCTTTGTGACATGCATGGACGTAAAGTTAGCAACTTTACGTGTTTTTCCGGCTCTTGGGTATCAGATCTACATTTTAAAGCGTTGGACTTGATGAAAAAGGACTGAATGTGTTAAGTTGGGAAAACTCGGTGTGTTGTCCAGCCAACTCGACGAGTTGGCTAGGATTTTCCCGACTTTCTGATTACTGTGGGAACTCGACGAGTTGGTAGGTGCACTCGATGAGTTGGATCAACATGGACTGTTGACCTTGATTGTTGACTTTGACTTTGACCATGGTTGACCAAGTTTGACCTTTGAGGGCATTTTGGGTATTTCAGGGTTTTGATAGAAATGGTCACATGGTGGTTGTAGGCATTTGAGTTTGGAGCTGAGTTTTGGAGTTGGATTTTACCGGTTCAACACTTCTTGTGAGGTGAGTGTTCCTCACTGTACTTGTTGGGTCGAAGGCACCAAGGCCGACCCTTTTGGATTGTTATCCTGATTATTGCATGATTGAGTTTTGTAGTGATATGTTAGATCTATATCCTGATAATAGGATGATGTTATGCTTAGTGATCTGTAAGATCTATCTGTTGGTCTGATTGACTGGTTATATGTTTAATTGTTATGTATATGTCGACATGTTATGTACGGTTGGGTTGAGGAGGACGTGCTTTGTGCTGAAGGCCAACAGACCCAGGGCGTCCTAGATGGACTAAAGGCCAGTGGGGCGTACCAGTCAGGCCGAAGGCCCGGAGAACGTTCCAGATAGGCTAAAGGCCCGAGGTGGCGTACCAGTCATGTTGTAGGTTCTGTGAGCGTACCAGATAGACTGTAGGCCGGTGAGGCGTTCCAGTCAGATTGAAGGCTCTAAATGCATGTTATTTGTGATATTATTCTGGTTTTGTATTTATGTTGGTATTTTGGGGGAACCCACTAAGCTTCGGGATTACAATTTTGGATTATGTTTCAGGTACCTCAGAGAATCGCGGGAAGTCGAAGGCGTGATCGTGCACCTCCTCATATTTTGGTTTCATGATTTCTGAGATCTCTCTGATGTCGAACTTATTTTGAAAACAATTTGTACACAATGATGGTTTTTGGATTTATGTAAAAGTTTTAAAATTTTCAAAATTTTATGGATGTTACAAAAATAAACCGATTAACTACAACCAATACCTAAGAAGTAATACTTATTTCAGAGGTGAGTCAACACGAAAATCCCTGAATGCGGAAAAAGCTCTTGTTTCCTTATCGAAGCGAATCTACTACAACCGGCTATGGTCCAATAGAAACATCGATTACAGAGAAAACAAATCTAAACAGATTTAAACAAATACACAACAATAGAAACAGTGACTAACTACGATTCACGACAGTTGCAACAGTTGAACAAAGATCATGAACTATTTGACTGAAAAGCAAAGATCGTGTGTGTGTGTGTATATATATATATATATATATATATATATATATATATATATATATATATAGACACACACACATAAAAACTGAAAATTTAATATGTACGAAAACCTACCAAATAGATTTAAAAAAGTAAGAACATAAATTACCTAAACAATAAATGATAAAGACTCTCCCCGATAAGCGAACAAACGACCAAAAATGGCGTTTCTGGAAACCCTAGTCCCTAGAGTGAGGGAGAGAGGACTGGAACTACAAATGCATTACCTGTCTCTATAATTATTTGGAAATATAAATATAAATATATATATATATATATATATATATATATATTATCTACCATAATAAATGAAGATCCATTTTGTCACATATCAATCTCTCATGAGTTTTGACACTAGTCATTTAGTAATATTTTCAAAATAAAAAATGTCCACATGTCAATTTCTAGGTTTTTTCAAATTTTAAAATTAAAAAGCCACATAATACTTATATACTTATATATATAAAGTAATAAATGTAATAAATATGATACTGAATTGTAATTAATACATTTCTTTATCCTTTATTTCAAAATTTTATTTAAAAAATACTTATTGTTTACTTTTTGATATTTAACTTTTTTAAATAAACTCGTATATAATACACGGGTTTTACACCTACTGATGTAATATATAAGAAAAATGTCAATTTCTAGGTTTTTTCAAATTTTAAAATTAAAAAGTCATATAATACTTATATACTTTTATATATATATATATATATATATATATATATATATATATATATATATATATATATATAAAGTAATAAATGTAATAAATATGATACTAAATTGTAATTATTACATTTCTTTATCCTTTATTTCAAAATTTTATTTAAAAAATTATTTATTGTTTACATTTTGATATTTAATTTTTTTTAATAAACTCGTATATAATACATAGGTTTTACACCTAATAATATAATATATAATAAAATTGTATGGGCCATATATATAAGCCCCATATTCAAAGTTTTAACGTGACAATACTATTTATTATTTAATTGTAATATTTAATATACTCCTCCTACACAAAGATATATGTATGAGATGTAATTTAATCCTTTATTTAAAGAATTACAAAAACGGTAAACGGAATGAGGAAGGCAATTTAAGTTTATTCATAATGAATATATAATTTTATATTAGGAATTAAGATCTTAGTTATGAATTTTAGCTTTTTATTATGTTAACAAAATAAATATAGTATTTACTATACAGATGTTTTAACAAAAACTGAAATATATCATTTGCAACTTTTTTATAAGAACAAAAATTGGACAAATTGAAAGACTATTTAGAAGATGTTTGTGTATTGTTTATTAATTCTTATAGTTTAATCTACTTTAATAAATGAAAATCTTTTTGCCACATGTCACATTCTCATTGATTTGGATACATGTCATTTTGTGGTTATTTTCAATTAATTTTTTTCCACGTGACATTTTGTAGTTTTTTTTTCTATTTTATTAAATTTCACATAATATTTAAATTTAATAATTGCAATAAATGTAAAATAAATACGTATCAATATCATTAATTGATATTTCTTCTAATTTCAAAATTTCTAAATTAAAGCCTCATTAGTTTCCTATGTCCATTTATCTTAATTACTAGGTGTAAGACTCATGTATTATATGAGTTCATTTTAAAGAAAAAAAAAATGAAATTCAAAACATTTGAGAAATTTGAATTTATAAGAAAAAAATAGAAAAATATTGAATTATTAAAATTAAATTGTTTGTTTTTTTAATTAAACAGATAATTTAGATAAATAAACAAATGAAACTAATGAAACTTTAATTTAGAAATTTAGAAATTAGAAGGAAGTCAATTAATGAAATTGATATGCATTTATTATTACATTTATTGTAATTATTACATTTAAATATTATGTGGAAATTAATAAAATGAAAAAAACCACAAAATGTCATGTGAAAAAAAATTAATTGAAAATAACAATAAAATGACATGTGACCAAATCAATAAGAGTGTGACATGTGGCAAAAAGTTCTTTATTTATTAGGGAGGATTAGTTTAAATTTAAAAAAGAAAAAAAAACATTTTAATTTTAATAATTCAATATTTTTCTAATTTTTCTTATAATTCAAAATTTTCAAATGTTAAGAATTTAATATTAATTTTTCTTTTCAATATACTCATGTAATACATGAGTCTTACACCTAGTGTGGGTAATAAACACCGTTAAGTGTTTGTATTGCAAAAAAAAGGAAATATATATGTTTATTTCAGTATTGTACCGGCAATAGATATTTTTTGATAAGTTGTTTTAAAGGTAGAAACTAGATTACATTTTTATTCTTATTTTTAGAAAACAAAAAAAACCAATCATATATGATATCTTTTTCAGTCATTTTATACGTATAAATAGTGTTTGAAAACACAAAAAAAAACATTTTATCAATTTGTTAATTTGTAGGTTTTAGTTCCATATAAACTAATTCAAATATTTTTTAAAATAATTTTTACACCAAAAAACTAATTAACATTTTGAAAAAAATAGAAGTTGTTTTAAGTTAATACTTCCAAACAAACCTTATATGTGTTAATAATTACCCATAAATAAAAAAAAATATTGTAGCCCTATTTATTATGGAGGTTTGGACTTACACCGCTTATTTTCTGTTCGGTATGCATTACATTGTGTTTTATACAGATATTAGCAAGATAGAAATTATAATTTTTTCTCATATAAAAAGATGAACCGATTAAAACAACAAAAGTAGATCTAGAAAATGGGTGCTTCTATTAAGACACCAAACAAATACTTTTATCAAAAATCAATCTATAAATAACTAATTATAATTATCGTTTTTCAAAAACCAATACATTTTCAACAGATAAAAATACTTTAAAAACTACATTTAAATGATAAAATATGATGTTTTTTAAGTCAACCCTTATAAAATAGTATGTTAGTTTCTTCTCATTCGAAAAGAATGTCTCATATACCAAAGGCAACTTAGCCACACTTATTGACCTAAAATTTATATGTTTTACGTGGTTTTCATGGGATAACGAAATTATGTTTCTACATTTTATTTACATACTAATTAATGCAAGCCAACAAGTAATTGTTAATGGAAGACAATGATTGGTTGGTGGAGTGACCACTGTAACCAGTGCAAACGCAAGCTGTGATTGGTTGTTAAACGGCCCCACATAATGGGTCCCCTCTATCAATTTCACATCTTTTTCCCTTTTATAATTAAACAATCATGATCTACTTACTAATTAAAAAAAAAATTCAAATTTAAGATCCACATAACATATGCTACTTGACTTCATAGCCAAGCAACAAGTCTTACAGACACTAATAAGTAATAACATAACTATTAACTAAACTACCCATTCATAAACACAGTGAATTAATTACCTAAACGTGACAATTACTAAAAATCAACAAAATAACTTCCTATTACCCATATGTAGAGTTAACTTAACTAGGGTTGGATACAGGGCCAATTTGAATCAGATAGATAGATCATCATCTTTTATACCTCCACCTCCACCATTTCTTTTCACAAGTAACTCTAAAATTTCTTCCCTCCCACAAACAACAGCATAATGCAATGCTGCTTGACCTTCATTGTCCTTCATATAAACACAAACAACATCAATATTCTGCCATAACAACACACACACACACACACAGCTTTTAATTCCATCTAATATGAAGGTTATATAATATATTAGTATATACCTTTGAATTTACATCAGCATTCATGCTCAATAGTAATTGTACAACATCAATATGCCCACGATCAACAGCCCAATGCAAAGATGTTCGACCTTCACTATCTAGAAATTTTAAAAGAAAATGATGACTTTATATACTTGGAGTGATAATAAATTGATAATATGATATGAATAAAATATAAAAATTAAAAATTTGACAACCTTTTGTATTTACAGAAACACCACTCTCAACACATTTGAGCAAATTCTTCATATCACCTTCTCTTGCAAAGTCATGTATAGCATCCAGTTTTCTGATAATGTTAACATCGAGAGTATTATGGTATTACTTCAGGTATATGCATTATACATAATAAAAATTATAAAAAATGCTCAATGAATCTTCTTACAACTCATTTCCAGATTCTTCGTGTATAAGAGTGCTGAAAACAGGCCCCATTGGTTCATTAGAATCCCCGTCTCTTCTCTTCTGTGGTTATACCAACAACAAACAGAGAATGAAGGTGACACAAGAAATACAACAACTTTCTAAAAACAAAAGAAAGAGAGAGAGTTAATTTCATCTTACAGATTTTAACCCATCATTCCAAGTAGGGTAAAGCTCTGTAATAATTTCAATATACTTGTGCATTGCTTCTTCTGTAGGCATAGCACCCAGTTTATGCCATGCATTCCTGGCACATTCATTAAGGCGTATTTTAAATTGAAAAAAAATACCAAATCAGAAGCATCTGGATTTCAGGAACTGAAAATGGAATTGAACTAGGTATATTTTGATATTAATTTCAAAGAATTGAGATGCTATACCATTTAACTCGAGCAGACATCTTGATGGCAGAAGGCTGAGGAACATTACAAGGACCCTCGGTTGCAATCTTATACAATCCATAAAGCTGCAACTTCAAATCATTCGAAACCTTCCGCGACGACCGATTCGCCGTGATTGCCGCGACAATTGCGGAGGCGGCACCAAACGCCTCGTCTAATTCCGTACTCTCTACACCTTCCCAGTCGTCATCGCTATCACTACCAGTCGCAGCAATTTTCTTTGGTTGATCAACCAACGACTCTTTTTCGGTGCTACTGATATGTTTCTTTGGGAACTCCGCGTCTGATCTTTTATCTTCTTCTGCCGATTTCCAATGGGGTTCGGATGGAATTACGTCCGGTTGTTCTTCGCTAGGGTTAGCGTGAGTTATACGGGGGTTTTCATCTCCGAAAGAGAAGATTCTCGAGAAGAGCTTGGCAAGAAGAAAAGAGAAAACGAGGCCGAAAACCACTGATTGTGTATACTGTTGCCAGTCAGCCATCGCCATGAATGCCTGTGGTGTATGTACGAATAAGAACCGTGGAAAAGAATGGCGGAACGGAGTTGGGATTGTTTTTGCTCTGTAAACTCAATGCATCAAAAACTGGTGGCGATGAGTGTATCAATAGATAGATACCTAAAACCCCAAATTTTTGTACGAAGTAAAACGCGAGAATGTGCAAAGGAGAAGTGAGGATGGATGAAATCGGCGCCGGTGAAGCAGATAGCCGGAAACAGGCGTAGGGTTGAGAGAGAAACTTGAACCAGATGACCACGTAACAGCGTTGGCGTATTTTGGCCGCGCACGTGATTTAATTGAATGGGATTACTTTAGATTTTAAAATATGAACCAACTCCAACATTTCGTATTTTTTAAAAATTGTTACGCTTCATCATTAAAACGGATTTATCGGATATAATCAACTAACTGGAACAAATGGGACTTTCTGATGGCATAATACATCAACCTTTAATTTGTTTCGTAAAAGCCTCTCCTACATTTCATTGGTTTGTGGAACACTAGTAGATCTTGACTATCTATGGTTGGTAACTCTACGTTTAGCAAATAATTTGTGAAAATGTTAGCATAGTTTCTTTTGACATCAAACCTTGTTAATGCTATTGACACTTTTCAAATAGTAACTCCATACAATATAATTTATATTTTAAAATGTTATATTATACTAACTCTATATAAATAAATTATTGTGTATGGAGAAAAATAATTGTGTATGAGTCACTTCCTTTTTCAAATACAATTTCCTTCAAACGAAAATCAAATCGCGAAACAAAATAACTTTATTTTTTTATTTTGTAATTGACGGAGCATGAGACATTAATATTTAATGGTATTTTAGAGTATGCCTCGATATAATTTATGAGCTTTCTTGGATGTGCTTATAACCCATTATGTGTTGGTTAATATGGTGGCAGAAACATACATGTCGCATATTATACTAATCAGATTATGTTATCATTTGATTTTCCACACGCGACTATGATATCGAATTACTTCATGATGATGTTGTAAAAAAATTTATAGAGTTTTTCATTATATTTTACTGTCAGCACACTGTAATGGTTTTAGTGGAAATCATATAGCCATATATATGTTTTATTTATTGTTATAATGACTTCAAGTAGAGATAAAAATTGGGTTCGTTCATAATTTGAAGTTATGACCGTACACATATCTATTGGATTATAATTTAGGGATATATATGAGCTTGATAATAGTGATCTTTGTTTTAATTATGAATAAGGGTGTACGTCCCAATTTCTATAATAAAATTTTCATTTTTAAAATAGTATAAACACTTATTTTCGTAAAATACATTCAAGTCAAAACCATTTGTTCAAAAACCATAATTTCATATCACGGTTATAAGGGAAAACAATGTAGAATATCAAATCATAAAACTGTTAATGCATGTGTGTACAGTTTGCATCCCCACGAACCGATATAATACCTGAAAAACATTTAATACACAACTGTAAACACAAATCTTAGTGAGTTCTCCAAAATACCCCACACAACAATACACATACAATGCATGCACACATTGCCTACACCACAAAGCTAGACCGCCATTAGAGCGTACAACACAAGGATGGACTGCTCTCCAGAGCCTACAACAGTAAGCTGAACCAATTTCCTTGGGCCTACAGCATAAAGCTAGACCGTTCTCCTTGGGCTTACATCACAAAGTTGGACCGCCCTCTGGGCCTTCAGCACAAAGTTGGATCGCCCTCTAGAGCCTACATTATCAAGTTGGACTGCTCCTTTTAGGCCTACAGTAATGAACTGGACCGCCCAAGCCTCGTGACCTTCAGCATGTAGCCGGAACGCCTCAACCCAACCATAACATGTCGACATATACAAATAACAATAACAAACAAGCACATGTAATCGTAACAAATCTACATGTCTAACAGATCACTACAACATATCAACATCCTAACACACAAAGAAGACATACTATAATACAAGTATAATTAGAAAACTCACTTGAGTTAGCCAGCAGAAGCTCAACAGCAAACCTCAGCAACAAAACTGATGGGTTTTGAGCATAACATCAATCCTATGGTGTTCATGCAACCCTAATTGCTTGGATCTAGGTTTTCTACTTTGAACATGCAATAAACTTCCAAGACTTACAAACCCTAGATCTATCATATAAGAACTGAAATAAGGGTTTAGTAATTACCTTTGATTGTTATATAGCAATAACAATCAATCCTTGCTTTGATTGGCTTCAGAAAGCTTAGTGCCTCAAGTGTTGCACCTCTAATGGAGTCACAAACACCACTAAGCAATTGGATGAAGGAGAGAAGAAGAGAGGCTGCCCAAAATCGTCCAGAAACCCTATAGGGATCATTCACCACGTTTTTGGGGCTTAGGGGCTCCTTAAATAGGTAGACTATTAGGGTTATCTAACAAGGAAACCCTAATTTGACTGTTTAAGCCCTAAGCAGCCCATGGACCCCTTCTGGAACATGCCTTGGACGATTTCTAATGGGCTTCCCCATAGAATTCGTCCAACCTATTATTCCAAGGTGATCCATAGCCCAATTGCAATTATCCTATAATTACAATTCCAGTCCCCTAAGTTTAATTAATCTCTTTTAGCCACAAAATTAATTCTTAATTAATTCTTGACTAATATTAATTAAACAAAATGATTTCTCCTTTAATATATTATTCTTATAATATATTAATAAATCATAATTAAACCTTTCTCTCCTTAATTCATCCTACATATTGCTATGGTGAAGGCAACCCAAAAGGACCATGCTCATAATCGGGTCAAGTACATACCAAAATAGTTATGGACTTAGACACTAATCCAACAGTCTCCCACTTGGATAAGTCTAATAACTATTGTGCATAACTTCATAACCTGATCAGCAATCGTAGCTTTCAAAAGCCGTTGTCAACTCTGATCTTATCATATATGCGTGTCCTTTAGATAAGGGATCATATATTCGTCCATTCTCAAGATATCGTATAGACGCGAGACATGGATTTAAATCATTCTCTCTGTCTATGTATTGTTTCCCGACATCTGATTTATGGCGACTGACAACAGACTACAATTGAACACATCAACTTAGTCCCGACTTGGCCAAGCGCTTAGGGTGTCATCACTAAATCATCGAGGGGCCCACAGATATCGCTTTTATCCCACTTTGGGCAAAAGGAATGGATAAACTTCGACTCAAATGCTTGCTTGCACCTACTAATCAAATCACACACAACAATAAGTTTTATAACACCAAGTTACTGATGCGTTTACTTATCATCAATGTGCAACCGACCAGCAAATAACAACTCACACGTCTCGGTTTCAAGAATATACAATGTTATCGTCTCACTAATCACCCGTGATAAATCCATGAAGTGATTCAAGTGAGCGTGGGTTTAATCCAATACTTTAATCTTATTAAAGCACTCATGAACTCTGCAGCAAACTTATGCTATGTCTAAACACTTTAGACAATCTATAGACAAATTCATGATAATCTTGCTTCATACCTACTTCCAACGTATGACCGACTGTGGAGGTTTGAATAACCCAGTTATTCTGGAAGTCAAAACATGCAAAGTGAAACACATTAATAATATTAATCCTATATGGCCCCAAAACTTTTGAGCGTAAATAAAAACACTTTTATTTAAACACCATATTGATTACTCATTATTCATTGCTTACTGTTTCAGATAATCAACTTATTACTCGAATTATACCCACAATTGTCCCATGCTCCAAGCATGCACACTTTGGTTTCCTATGGTCCATACTTTGTAAAATAGATCAATTGAAAAACTTTTCCAATGAAACTCATTTCACAATCCCCAATCCTTATCATTAGTGTAAGAATACCAAATTCTTGCCACTTTTAGAATATGTCAGATTCTAACATTTTATGCAACGATCCTTTCGTAAAGTCATAGCACAAAAGTCATCAAGACTTGGCCAATGAAATCACAAAGTACTCTATCAGAAATTGTCACAAAACAATTCTATAGATGTGATGTCTCTCACTCAAAGTACATTCCTTCGAACATCCTTTTGCATAAAAGTTTCTAATCTACATAGATTCTTAATTTCCAACTCCCATTTATGGAAACATTTCCATATTTGCTATATGACAACTCATTCTTAATAGAATCTTATCTATTCATAATAATGTCAATATAGTCCATCCAGTACTATACTTCCAACTACTCACAAGCGACAAATCCTCAGTGAACCTCAGATCGTCCTTTGATAGTTGTTTAATTATTTTAGTCAAAACCATTTCTAGTCCTTTTTCCCTCTTAATGCCCTAGGCATTTGGAAAATTTTAGAATGGTCAAATATTATAGCATATGCAATCGATCCTATACCCGGAGCGTATTTGGACACGATGCATAATGTCTCACATAAAGATGTGATACTTTATCAGCCTTCTGCCATAATATTTTATGTGCCCTGTTCCCATAATTCGAACTATGAAGAGGGATGCCGTAATCATAATCGAATTTTGAGAATGCACTATGTATCCTTGACTAAATTTATTAACATTTCTCGATCTAAGCTTTAGAATTTTGAAACGAAGTATAATATTCTCTCCCTTAATTATAGCAAAACAACTTTTCAACCCTTGCAACTTTGCAAAGTGAATCTTTGTTTTTCATAATTAATATTGCTAACTTGCAATACTTACCATAATAATCATGCTCCCACTAACATGATGATTATTTTCTTACCAGCATAACACTTATGCTCCCACTAGCTTTGACATGTATTCAAAAAACAATTGAACTTCCTGAAAACAATGCTTATTGAATTCCTTAAGTTCATATTTCTAATACCTAATGCTTTGATAAGCCTTTATCTAAGCTTTGTACGTTCATACACCTTTGCCTTAGATAGGTCACATGTGTGTCTAAAGAAATTCAGAACTTATGTTACTAAGTCCCAAATGTTCAGACTAATTGCCAAATCTCACAATTCGAACTATGAAGAGGGATGTCGTAATCATAATCGAATTTGAGAATACAATTTTCACAATTGCAATCTTCTGAAAATCTCTCTTAGTGAAAGCATTTCCTTACAATCATTTTCATGAAGGAGGGAAACCTCATGACACTTAGATTTTAAAGTGTATGTGTTCCTATCCATGTGAATTTGTCAAAACCAAAGTTTGCGACAAATCCAAACTCATATGGACCGAACGTGCTCAATCTCGATTTCTTGCCTCATGGTAACATGAATGCCCACCATGTCTTCCAAGAAACTCACCCTTTCATATCAATGTACTTTCCATTGATCAAGGTGCT